GGTACCCAGGAGTGTCATTTCTCCCCTTTGAAGGGCAAACTCCCATGCAGTCAACCAAAGAGATCTAAAAGTGGGAAATAGGAAAACCAGGGAGAAGGCACCAGTTTTGCCCTCAAACTCCAGCATGGGCTAGGCCAACAGATCAATCTAGAAACTGGATCCTCAGTGTGTCAAAGCAGGAAGAAATTTAGAGTTCATATAGAGTTCCATTTTGCGGATGGACAAACTGAGGCTTGGAGAGAAGGGTCTAAGTTCACATAATGTGACTCCCTAGCTTCATGCTTCCAGGTTGGGGTGAAGGTACTTCCAGGAGTTATCAGAGGAAATACTAGCTCCATTCAGTTCTTCACGTATGGAGACTATGCTCCTGTTGCCATGTTGATCTTTCCTCTAGGGTCTAGCCCAGCCCAAGGCAGCCAGGAATGATCATAGATTCAAAATGAACTGAAGTCCGTACTTTCAGGTGGAGGAGGGCAGATATAAATAGAAACCCCTTCCTTTCCTAGGCCCCAAGCTCTGTGCGATGCAATGAGCAAACTGTTGGAACTGTGTGGGGGTCAGAAGGGGCATTCCTGTCCTACTATGGCCACCAATTTCTTGTGTGACCTCGGAATTATGACCTCCTCCCTGGGCCATTAGCACCTCATCTTTGGACCAGTAGTGTGATAGCTGAGGGTCTGACCTATAGTCTACCACAGAGTTAAGGGTGTTGGTTCTGGATCCAGGAGACTGAGGTTTAAATACCGGCTTGGCCACTAACCAGCTGGGTGACCCTGGGCAAGGGGCTTCTCTCCACACTTCAGTTTTCCTGCTAGGAATCTGAGCATGTGGTTGGGGTGTTGTGAGGATACAATGAGACAATATTGAGAGCATTTAGCATGGTGCCTGACACTTGATATGTGGAACTAATGTGAACTGTTACTACTGTTTCTTATTTTAAAAGGACATTCAAGAGGTTAGCAATAAAGCAATTCAATAATGTATCAAAAATGTATCAGAGACACAGTTCAGATAGGCTTTTGGAATCTCTAGACTTTAAGGCCTTGGTTTTTAGCCTGGGTTCTAGGTTGTAAAGCTTTCTGATTGCTAAAGAGATCCTTTGAAGCCATAGCAATAGCTGACTTCTATCTTTGTTGCAGGTTGGAAGCTATCAATGGGCTTTCCCATTGTGGGAAAATTGCTTAAAATCCAAATATTTAAGAAAAGTTTATTGAAGCATCTTGTAAATTACTTAAATACTGCTGAACTCCCAAAGCGTTTAACCAGAAGATCCATTATAACATTATAAATTTAAAAAATGACATAAGTATTATTAGTGTCCAAGCTCCTAAGACTCCTTTCTGAGATTCTCTTTACTGTCTACCCCTTCTTTCCCAGTGCTGGGCTGGTCCCAGCAGGAGGCCTTCAGAAATAATTTTGCTTCCTAGATATGTCTCCCAAGTGTTGGAGTGTCTGCCTCAGTTTCTTCCTCTTTCTGTGCCTGTGCAGGGGGCCGAGAGAACAAGATGCCTATTCTCATTTCCAAGATCTTCAAGGGCCTGGCAGCTGACCAGACAGAGGCCCTCTTTGTGGGGGATGCCATCCTGTCTGTGAATGGGGAGGACCTTTCTTCTGCCACCCATGATGAGGCTGTACAAGTCCTGAAGAAGACAGGCAAAGAGGTGGTGCTGGAGGGTAAGCATTGGGGACCCCAGGGATGTTCAGTTCTTCCTTACCTCCCCCAAGTCTCAAGCAGTGGGGGCTGAGAGGTGGGCAGGGTTGAAAACAAAAACAAAACTTGGGGCTCTGCATTGAGACCATGTGGGGTTGGTGGGGGAAGAACTGGCACAGAGCCAGATAGATTTGATTTTCATTTCCTCTCTCCCACTTCCTAGCTCTGTGGCTTTGGACAAGTCACTTCATTTCCCTGAGCTTTAGTTTTCTCATTTGTAAAGCAGGGATGTAACTTCTGCCTTGCTGGGTTGTGGAAATAGGACAAAAGGTCCACGGCAGGGGCTTTTGGTCCACAGTAGGATTTGCCACCCAGTGAATGACTCACGGGAAGAGCGGGGCAGGGACTGGGGAAGGGGAGGCTAAGATTCTTTCCTGGGAAACTGAGAGGGCTCTCAACTCTAGGCTCTCCTCCCACCCAGGTGTCCTAGAACCTGCTTTGGGAGAAGACTGACCTTTATGTGGCAGAACATCAGGTACTTCCAGCTAGGATCAGAGAAGATTTTTTTTTTGATGGGGGTGTGGAGGTGAAACTTGGTGGTTCCCCTCCACTGTCCCCTGTCTGTATGGTCTTAGATGAGACCTTTATCTTCTCTGGACCTCAGTTTCCCATCGATCATGATAGTCTCTTGCTGGGATTGTCCCATATCTGCCTTTTGCCATGTCTCTCAGGAGGTTTCTGCTTTGCTCAGCCCTTTCCTCAAACTCCACTCTGTCAGTTCCGGAAGCTGTGGGGGCCTGAGGAATGTGTCTTTGGCTCATGGCCCAGAACAGGCACAGGGAGATGGCGGAGGCTGATGGAGAATGCCATGGCCAGTGAAGCTGCTGAGCTGAGTCCCAAGCCCAGATCCTGATAGACTGCCTTTGTTTCCCCAAAGAGGTCTCCAAGAGGCCACAGAAACCAACACACTCTGGGTGATCTTTGGCATTCTTGTGCCCTGACCTCAGTTCTCTCTCAGTTTTGTTTTATTTTATTTTTATATTTTATTATCTATTTAAATGTATTGTGTCTATTTAAATGCTACTATTGCATTTTGAAAATACTTAAAGCTGACTCTGCAGTATTGGTCCCTAAAAGCTTAAGTATATCAATCATATTTTAACAGCAAAGTTAAATAATGAGATCACACATCAATGATATGGATATAAGAAACGTTTCCTCCCATGTGTCTCATTGCCTTGATATGTCTAGCCAGTAATGCAGTTTGAAGCAGCTGAAATTTATTAAAATGACATATTTTTGTTAACTTGAAAAGCTTTTAGTTTCTGCTGTTTGAAAGTTTAGTCCATAGATGGTAACATCTCTACCATAGACACACTTATAATCCACACTGAGGTCCCTCTTACCTCCTCATCTTTAGGTTGAGAATGCCGCTATCTGGGTTAGCAGTGTGGATCATTCTGAGAAGGTAGCATCTCTGAGTGTTAGATATTTGAAGCATCTCCTGATTTAGAAGCTAATACTCAAGCCTTCTGTCTAACTCATTCATTCCATTCCTTCCTCACTAAGCAGGAAACATTTCCAGGGACCTACTATGTACCTGGTGTGCCAAAACTTGGGTCAGAAGCTAAACCAGACCTAGGCCCTTTCCTGAAGGAGCTCATCATTGGGTGGGGAAGATAAAATATAAATACTCTCTCCTCCACACAAACTATTTAAAAGTCAGTGTCTAAAATCCCGTCTGCTCTGTGATGAATCTGGCCTTGGGTAAGAGCCTTATATTCTCTGGGCCTCAGTTTCCATATCTGCTGCGGTTAGACTAGATCAAAGATGACTAATAGCTTTCATTCTGAGCGTACGTCAGCTTCTCTAGTGGCTACTGGGAATTCCATATTAGAAAGATTAGGAGGCCTTATCTGGACTCAGCAGAAAGTAGCTGGAACTGATTAGCAATGTCCATTGCAGATAGAGTAGGGAAGAGCAGTAACATGTGTACCATCCCAGGACTGATGGTCTTGAGCACTCATAGGAGATTCTTCATAGAGCAAGACCTTTCCTTGGCAAACCTTGCCCCAGGTTTCTGAGTGGAGCCTCGCCTGCCTCTTGCCCAGCATAGGATTTGGCACACAGTAGGCACTCTCTAAATGCTAGCAACTCTCCCCCTGTCCTAGCATTTATATAAAATTGGTATTATTTCCTCCTTAAATGTTTGGTAGCATTCTGCAGGGAAGCTACCTTTATAGAAAGTTTTTTAAGCTGTGATTTTAATGTCTTTAATAGGGTAATTTATATGATCTTTTTTCTTGAGTGAACTTTAGTAGTTTATGTCTTTCAAGGAATTTGTCCATTTCATCTAAATTGTCAAATTTCATGGCATAAATTTGTTTATAATCTTCCCGTTGTTTTCCTCTCTCTTAGATGAGAGCCCTTTCCTGCTGTCTTTCTCCCTCCTCCCTTTATACTGCTCCACTTAGTGGCTTCAAGGGGACTCTCTGTCTCATGGGGCAGATGGCTAAGCAAACCTACCAGATCCCTGACCTGTCATAGGTGCTGTGGTGGAGTCTGCCCAGGGATTGGAGGAGGCAGTGGTCACCTCTCTCTGGGTGGTCAGGAAAGGCCTCCTGGAGGAGGAGATGCTGGCACTTTATGAACAATAAGCAGGTGTGGGTTGCATTCCAGGAGGGGGAGCCGGGTGAGCAAAATAATGGAGCTGTGAAATGACTGGACTTACCTGGGGAATTGCCTGGGAAATAATTCAGCTTTATCTGAGCCTAGGGTGTGAGGAAGTGAGCGATGAAAGAGGAGGCTATTCAGACTGACAGATCCTGCAGGACCTTGAATTTTAGACTTAAGGAGCTTGGACTTTTCTGGAAGGAATCAGAGAGCCATTAAAGAGCTTTCAGCAGTGGTGCACGTGGTCAGTTCTGTGCTTTAGCTGCATCAACCTGGTTTGGTTGGAAAAAGATGAATGTAGATACAGAAGGGCAGCAAGGAGGCTGGGGCTGTGAACAGGAGGGAGAAGGGGATGGGTCGACCTAAGCAGGCTTGGGTAAAAGGAAGAGTCTGGAGGTTGGCCTTCTTATTAGATTTTCCCAGCTTTTTATTAGTTGAAATCTCTCAAGCTGCTCTCCCACAGGCTTGTGGAAAGAGGTAATTCCACCCATGGCAGCAAAGGGGTGGGGGTGGGCCCTGCTGTCAACTATCTTTGAACTGCAGGGGTGATCTGAGAAGCCTGGAGGACGTGAGGAAGCTAGGATGCTGGGTTGTGGCTGATCCTTGAGATTTAGGGGAGTTTGTGGAGACTGGGCAGCTGCCCTAGTCTGGAGCCAGAGCTCCTGGAAGCCTCTCTGGGCCTAGGTTCCCCGCTAGACCTCAATCACTGGTCACATTGTTCACGCCTCTCCCCACTCCCACCCCCCATCCTACTTCTAAGGTCATCTCCAAGGGGCCACAGAAGGGTGGCCTGTCCTTTGGTTGTGAGTTTGGCAGGGCAGCTGGGCATCTTTCCAAAGGCCTGTGCTTGATGTGTACAGAATTCCCTGAGAACATCCTAGAAGGAAAGATGTCACTGGCAAACTGCGGTTCCCAGCCTGAATCCTGCTTCCCTGGCCTAAGTCAGGGTCTCAGCGGGGCCTCAGCAACCTCCACCTGTCTCCTGGACCTTTCCCTCTGTGAATTCAGGGGTTTTCACAAATGTCTTGAGCCTCTTCTCAGCCACAGGAATGTGTTTGTGACCAGAATCTGGGCCCAAGCTGGCCGCCAACACGCCTCTGACTGCTGCTTAGAGAGGCCCATTTTGTGTGCAGATCTGGAGCCTGGGCCAGCCTGGGCCCTTGGAGACCAGGCCTGGGGGGGAATGGGAGGGACAGCCAAATGCCCCCCACCCCTAGTGTGGCTGGCAAGATAGGGGCAGAAGGGAACCTGTGATGCATTAAAAAATAATACTAAAGGACAGTAAAAATGAATAAAGTCAAGTTTAGTGCTTTGTACAAAGTGGAAAAGGTTCATCTCACATAAAGATCAGGCTTTTAAAAGATACAGGCATAGAGTAATAAGTACATAAAGACACGGAGAGTAATAGGAATTGCTATAATCTCTGTTTTACAGACAAGATCACCAAGGTTTATTGAGAATAAATAATTTTCTTCAAGTCATACAACTAATAAATTGGCAGACTCAGAATTCAAACCTAAAAAAAAAAAAAAGAATTCAAACCTAGGTCTCTCCAATTGTAGAGGCCAACTTTTGTCTCTGCCTTGGATAATATCTACCTCACATGATTGTTTGCAAGATTAAAAAATAATGTAGATAACGTGCCAAGCTCAGTGCGCATAAGTAGGTACTCAGTTATTTTATTTGCTATTTATAAGGATGAAACAATGCATTTGAAGTGCATGGCACGATGTCTTCCACATAGTAAGCATTCAATAAATGTCAACCTTTATCATCATCACGTCAACAGCATTGGTGTTTTCTCCAGCAAAATTGAAGGTCTCTGAGGACAGGAATCATATGTAGTTTATCTCAGAGCCCCAGGCCTGGCACCATGCCCAGCTCACATTACATGTTGGTGAGTTTGGGGAGAGTGATCACTAGGGGACATCTCTGACCCTTCCTACTTTGCCTTTAACCTCATCAATTGCAGTTGACTTTTGTCGATGTTTAAGATGGGGCTTAAGGCTCAAGCTGGGCTTGACTGACTCCTGACAGTTTCCATTATGAGTCCTCAGAACTCCAAGGCCCAGTGCCTGCTGGCTCATCCCCTGGGAGATGGACACTGCCAGGTGTCCTGTTGGAAATTTGGCTCAGTACATCACCACCGTCAAAAGTGGATATTATTAATGGATGCAGCTAATTTGAGTCCACCCTATTCAGCTTAGTCGAGGGATGCTGTGCCTCAGAGATGCCTGAAGGACTCCTGACCTGAAACAGAGATGTGAATGGAGCCCCTGTCCAGTCCTCCCATGACTGCAAAGACCTGTTGTTCTAATTATTATTCTCAAGAAAACATTAATTTGGCTGT